TTTTACGAGTGTTGAACCAGCCTTGCATCCCAGGGATAAATCCTACTTGGTCATGGTGAATAATCTTCTTAATGTATTGTTGTATCCTATTGGCTAGTATCTTGTTGAGAATTTTTGCATCCATGTTCATCAGGGATATTGGTCTATAATTCTCCTTTTTGGTGGGGTCTTTGTCTGGTTTTGGCATTAAGGTGATGCTGGCTTCATAGAACGAATTTGGAAGTACTCCATCTTTTTCTATCTTTCCGAACAGCTTTAGTATAATACGTATGGTTTCTTCTTTAAACATTTGATAGAATTCCGCAGGGAAGCCATCTGGCCCTGGACTTTTGGGTCTTGGGAGGTTTTTGATGACTGTTTCAATTTCCTCCCTGGTTATTGGCCTGTTCAGGTTTTCTATTTCTTCCAGTTCCAGTTTTGGTAGTTTGTGGCTTTCCAGAAATGTGTCCATTTCTTCTAGATTGCCTAATTTATTGGCGTATAGCTGCTCATAATATGTTTTTAAAATCGTTTGTATTTCCTTGGTGTTGGTAGTGACTCTCCTTTCTCATGCATGATTTTATTAATTTGAGTCTTCTCTCTCTTCTTTTAATAAGGGTGGCTAATGGTTTATCTATCTTATTAATTCTTTCAAAGAACCAAGTCCTGGTTTTCTTGATCTGTTCCACAGTTCTTCTGTCCCTATTTCATTGAGTTCTGCTTGAATCTTTATTAACTCTCTTCTTCTGCTGGGTGTAGGATCTGTTTGCTGTTTTATCTGTAGCTCCTTTATGTGTAAGGTTAGCTTTTGTATTTGAGTTCTTTCCAGTTTTTGGATGGATGCTTGTATTGCGATGTATTTCCCCCTCAGGACTGCTTTGGCTGTATCCCCAAGATTTTGAATGGTTGTAACTTCATTCTCATTAGTTTCCATAAATCTTTTTAAATCTTCCTTAATTTCCTGGTTGACCCTTTCATCTTTTAGCAGGATGGCCCTTAACCTCCACGTGTTTCAAATCCTTCCAAACTTCTTCTTGTGATGTAGTTCTAATTTCAAGGCATTATGATCTGAGAATATGCAGGGGACGATCCCATTCTTTTGGTATCGGTTAAGAACTGATTTGTGACCCAGTATGTGGTCTATTCTGGAGAAAGTTCCATGTGCACTTGAGAAGAATGTGTATTCAGTTGCGTTTGGATGTAAAGTTCTGTAGATATCTGTGAAATCCATCTGGTCCAGTGTATCATTTAAAGCTCTTGTTTCTTTGGAGATGTTGTGCTTAGAAGACCTATCGATTGTAGAAAAACCTAGACTGAAGTCACCAAGTATAAGTGAATTATTATCTAAGTATGTCTTAACTTTGGTTATTAATTGATTGATATATTTGGCAGCTCCCATATTTGAGGCCTATATATTGAGGATTGTTAAGTCCTCTTCTTGGATAGATCCTTTAAATATGATATAGTGTCCCTCTTCATCTCTCACTACAGTCTTCGGGATAAATTTTAGTTTATCTGATATAAGGATGGCTACCCCTGCTTTCTTTTGAGGGCCATTTGAATGGTAAATGATTCTCCAACCTTTCATTTTCAGGCTGTAGGTGTCCTTATGTCTAAAATGAGTCTCTTGTAGACAGCAAATAGATGGGTCCTGCTTTATTATCCAGTTTGAAACCCTGCGCCTTTTGATGGGGTCATTAAGCCCATTCACATTCAGAGTTACTATTGAAAGATATGAGTTTAGTGTCATCATGATATCTATTCAGTCCTTGTTTTTGTGGATTATTCCTTTTGACTTCTTCTTAAAGAGGAATTTTTAGAGTCCCCGTTAAAATTTCTTGCAGAGCTGGTTTGGAGGTCACATATTCTTTCAGTTCCTGCCTGTCTTGGAAGCTCTTTATCTCTCCTTCCATTTTGAATGAGAGCCTTGCTGGATAAAGTATTATTGGCTGCATGTTCTTCTCATTCAGGACTCTGAATATATCCTGCCAGCCCTTTCTGGCCTGCTAGGTCTCTGTGGAGAGGTCTGCTGTTAATCTAGTATTTCTCCCCATAAAAGTTAGAGATTTCTCGTCTCTTGCTGCTTTAAGGATCTTCTCTTTATCTTTGAAATTTGCAAGCTTCACTATTAGATGTGGAGGTGTTGAGCGGTTTTTATTGATTTTAGGGGAGGATCTCTCTATCTCCTGGATCTGAATGCGTGTTTCCCTCCCCAAATTAGGAAAGTTTTCAGCTATGATTTGTTCAAATACATATTCTGGCCCTCTGTCCCTTTCGGCGCCCTCGGGAACCCCAATTAAACGTAGATTTTTCTTCCTCAGGCTGTCATTTATTTCCCTTAATCTATCCTCATGATCTTTTGTCTCTTTTTCCTCAGTTTCCCTCTTTGCCATCAACTTGTCTTCTATGTCACTCACTCGTTCTTCTATCTCGTTAACCCTCGTCTTTAGGACCTCTAGTTTGGATTGCATCTCATTTAATTGATTTTTAATTTCTGCCTGATTAGATCTAAATTCTGCCGTCATGAAGTCTCTTGAGTCCTTTATGCTTTTTTTCTAGAGCCACCAGTAGCTGTATAATAGTGCTTCTGAATTGGCTTTCTGACATTGAAGTGTAATCCAAATTTTGTAACTCTGTGGGAGAGAGGACTGTTTCTGATTCTTTCTTTTCAGGTGAGTTTTTCCTTCTAGTCCTTTTTTGCTCAGTGCAGAGTGGCCAAAAACAAGTTGTATTGGGAAAAGGAGAGAAAGAGAGAAGAGGAAGAAGAAAAGAAAAAGAAAAAAAAAAGAAAAAAGAAAAAAGGGAGGGGGAAAAGAGAAGAAAAAAAAGGGGGGGAGCAAACAGAAATCAAGAAACAAAAAACAAGGGGGAGTATCCTCTGGTTCTGTATACTGTAAATCCCTCGACTTCCCCTGGAACTTTCCAGTGCTGCTTGGTCAATAATTTGTTTTTCCAGGATCCCTGGTGACGCAGCGGTTTAGCGCCTGCCTTTGGCTCAGGGCGCGATCCTGGAGACCCGGAATCAAATCCCACGTCGGGCTCTCAGTGCGTGGAGCCTGCCTCTCTCTCTCTATCTCTCTCTCTCTCTCTCTCTCTCTCTCTCTCTCTCTGTGTGTGTGTGTGTGATTATCATAAATAAATAAAAATTAAAAAAAATAATTTGTTTTTCCCCTTTCCGTCTAGCTGGTCTTCTGGGGAGGGGCCTGCTGTGCTGATATTCAGGTGTTAGCACTTGGGGGAGCTGCTTAGCCCCCTGCCTGGTTCAGGGCTCAGTGAGAGATGTTTAACCTGTTTATCCAGTGAGGCCACTGTGAGGCTCAGTGGGGTTTGTTTATCTTGTGAGGCCCAAGAGGAACAACAACAGTGGTGGCAGCCAGCTCTCCAGCCCTGGATTCAGCTCCCGCATTAACTACCGAGCTCTCTGTCTGCAGGGGCCTGGATGCTCCGGGGGGCGGGGGCGGGGCCGCTGATCTGCTCAGCTCCGGGCTGCCAGGCGGAGCCTGTCCTGGGCCCTCCTGGCTTCTCTGCCTCTTCCCGGGGAGGCCGGATCTAGGACTGTGTCCCCGGCGCCCTGTGCTCCCGGCCCCGCAGCCCCTTCCGCGCGGAGCCTCTGCCGGAGGCTCTGCCGGAGCCGCCTAAAATTACATTTTAAAACATTAGGTTTTAAAAGTTATTCGTGCATTGTTCTGAAATTGTGATATTGATTCAGTAAGAGAGAGATTAATATTCAGTCTATAAAAGTATTCACCTGTTTTCCTATATCTAGGCATCTGGAGTGCATTCAAAATTATCCTGATTTACAAATAACTCATTTATAAGTTAAACTGCCTGGGTTGCATCCTTGCCTTTCCACTTACTGGGAAAATGGGGGTGATGATAGTACTTGCCTTATGGGATTGCTAAGAAATTATATGGGTTCATTCCCACCAGGTTCTTTGAACCATACAAGGTGAGCCCTTGAGAAATGATAATTACTGGTCCATGAAGGATACTTTGGGGGTGAACCCAGCAGGTCAAAACCCAGGGCTGATGTTATTGACATCATACCATCTTGACCCAAGTTGACTGAGGGAGTAGGAAGAAGGTTAAAAAAATAGTGGGCATCCACAAATCTCTCAAAAAACCCCTCACATCTGTCAAAACAGACTCCCAGGGTGGATAAGCCCTAATTTTGACTCGGTGTGTGATATCCTACATCCATTACACTGGCCTATTCTGCATGATTTTATATTTGAAAAAATTAAATTCTATTTTAAAAGTGGATATTTTATGTTTTTAATTACTTATTTGACTGTGTGAGAGAAAGCACTTAAAAAAATCATTAATTTATTTGAGAAAGAGAGAGGGAGAGCACCCAAGGGAGGGGCAGAGAGAGAGAAGCAGACTCCCTAAGCAGGAGTTCTAGGTGGGGCTGAATCTCAGGACCCTGAGATCATGACCTGAACCAAATGGAGAGTCCAGCCTTAACCACCTGAGCCACCTAGGTGCCCTGAGAAAGCACTTGTAAAAAGTATTTCTAGGAATGTCTGGATGGCTCACTGGTTGAACGTCTGCCTTCAGGTTAGGATCTCAGGGTCCTGGGACGGAGTTCCCCCAGAGAGCCTGTTTCTTCCTTTGCCTGTGTCTCTGCCTCTCTCTCTGTGTCTCTCATGAATAAATAAATAAAATCTTAAAAATAAAATCTATTTCTATTTTATTGAAAGTATCTGTTTGTGTTTGGTCTTCTCTGCTAAACTATAAGCTCCTCTAAGTAGAAATTCCCTGAACCCCAGCAGCCAGTTTAGAGCACCAGTGTTTTAAGTAAATTCCTATCAGCAGCCAGCAGCCTGGAACCAAAGAGCCAATCTGTGAGGTGAGAGTGGGGTGGAGATGGAGATGAGGGCACCGGGATCTGTTTTAACACATCCTCTGAAAGGTAGGTGTTCTCCATTTAAGCTTTTAGAGCAAGACTTGCTTTGAGTCTGTTGCTAGTTCCCCGTTCACCAGGAGGAGTTTGTCACTTTAAGGCAGATACCAGGAAGTTAAAAGTGCATACTCTGGAGCGGGGAGGGACCAAAACACAGGGTTGCTCTGTCTCTAGAGAGGGTAGCTGAGCATCCGGGCAACTGCAACCCAAAAACAGAGGTTGTAGGATTCTTTTCTGCCCAAAGCAGTTTTGCCTCAGGTAATAGTCTCACTGGGGGAGGGAAGGGGTGCCGCTGAGTGGCAGGGCTTTGGCTGAAAGGAGGTGGAGACGAACAGCTCCCTGCCATTGGCTGTTGCTGTTTACACTTTGTTGCTTTATATTTCCTCAACAAGAGCCAAAAGTGCAGATTAGCCTCTGGATGGCAGCTGAAGGATCAGCCAGGTGCTGCGGGAAAGGCAGTGAGGCCACCACAGCAGGGCTTTCGAGCTCCTGGTCTCTCAGATGCAGGGCCCCCATATCCCTTGCGTAGCAATTCCCTATGGTTAGGGGGACCCCAGAATCTGACTTCTCCCAAAGCACTTGTCCCGGCATTTATCTGGAGGATGCCATGGCCAAGGTCTTTCTTTCCTGACATGTGTTATATGCTTTCTGTCTTTTGTCATTTTTTTTTTTTTTGACAGATTACATTGATCCAGCCTGGTGAAGATATCTGGAGACCATGACCAAGAAAAGAATTGCTGTGATTGGAGGAGGTGTTAGCGGGCTCTCCTCTATCAAGTGCTGCCTAGAAGAAGGCTTGGAGCCAGTCTGCTTTGAAAGGACTGATGACATTGGAGGGCTCTGGAGGTTCCAGGTAAGTCTCCTGGTTCTTTAATACTTGGAACCCTTACTGCTACTACATGCCCAGCAGGAGTGTTAGTCTGAAACCTCAGGAGCATCCCAGGTGTAATTTGGAAGGGATCCCCTTTGTGAAGGGCAGAGAGAGACCCAGAAAAGAGGCAGCCACTCCAGGTTGATAGGTGGCAGGCTTATCTTATTTATTTATTTTTTTATTGAAGTTTGATTTGCCAACATATAATAGTATAACACCCAGTGCTCATTCCATCAAGTGCCCTCCTCAGTGCCCATCACACAAACCATGAGGTGGCAGTTTTAAATAAACAAAGGAACTTACATGTGAGGCTTGTTGTGGGCAACCACAAGGCAAGTAGATCTCCACACCTGCCATTTTAAAAACTTTTATATTACAGGCTGTAACTGGGTTCAATCAGCACCATCCACATGGTCTCACCACCACCCCACTAGTAAGGCAAGTAGAATGTACATTCCAAGAAGTCTCTGAGGGCCCAGCTCTTGGGTTAACCTGTGGTCACATCCTCTTGATGACCTTCCCCCATCATGTCACCTCTCCTGACCAGCTTTTACAATGTCACACAACCTCCTCTTCTACAGTGTCCCCTGAGAAGTAAGCAAGGGGTTTTGCTATCATGGAGGTGGCCCATTTGGTGTCTGTCTGTCTGTGTGGTAGTCAGATACCACAGCAATAGGGTAGGCACATGCAAAAGAAAACAAAGATGAAGGTAATGATTCCCCAAACAATATTTTTCCACCAAGAACCCCACGCTCCCAACCACTGATTTATTAAGTTCGCTAACTGGGGGTTGGATCACTCAGGGTATTCACAGATGTTCTCATGTAATTTAGTAAAGGTGACATATTAGCAGATTCCTCAGGTATGAATGCACAGTGTTCTGTTTGGATAATGGCATAGGTGCCTCCTTTTGAGGCAAAAATAATGCCCAAAGCCATTCTGTTTTGGAGGACAACTTTTCTCACTAGAGATATTTCATTATTCAGTAAGGACCAGTTTTATTGGTTATCATTTAATGCTTGCTGGGTGAATTTACTAAGGGCTTAAATATGTACTATAACATCCACCGAGCCAGTGGAGGAAACAATGACAGTAGCCAAATAATCCATGTCAGTGAAAGACACAGCATGCCCATCAAGCCTTGAAGTGAGGGAAATTGGCAAATATTGTTACCATGGATGGGGAGAATTCTCTCCTATGCAAAGGGAAAACCCAGGGCACAATGGTTCAACCATCTAGGTAGGAGCCATGACCAAAAATTTGTCCCACACAACCACTAGACCCCTTTGGGGGCTACCTAATAAATACCTGGGTGGTATGACCAGTTAGTGCCAAACCAGTCATTGTACTTTAGTATGACAGAGTGACTGACTACATAGTTCCAGTGATATCCATCTTATATTCCTGGTGCAGTTTTGTTGATTCTGTTTAGAATGACTTTTTCTTCCCAACATAGGGATGCCTGGGTGAACACATCCATAAAGCCATCCCAGATCTGACTCAATGATGGCATTTCTAGGACCCTCCCAGTTAGCGGGCTAATGGGCTACCTGTGTAGTTTGGTTGACAGAAAAAGATCCATGCCCAGAGTTATTGATAGTCTTTGCCACAGGCCAGGTTTCTGGATTAGTATTTTAGTATATCTGGAGAGTATTAGTATTATCAGATGAACCAAGAATGCTAACCCTAGCTTATTCTTCCTTAATGGACTGCTTTAGGGCCTTTCAGTTTCTTTCTTGGAGGAGTGATACTCACCATGGCAATCCCGAAGAACTAGAGAGGGGCAGCTGCCCACATAGCTATCAGTTGGATTGATTTCTTTGTTGGACATAGGAATGAACCCACTGTAGAAAGGAATTCCATCAGGTGCCTATCCTGTAACTGGATACCAAAGGAGCCTCAGAGTTTAAGGTCAAAGAGATATTTAGTAGGAACTTGTATGGGGAGGTGTTTCTCTGCTACAAGAATGGCAAGGCCTGATCTTTAGATGTTAGTGTGGCTACAGTTTTAGGAATTTGACCAGGTCACATATACCAACCATGTTGGCCAGGGGAGGCAGCACTCTCAGATGTGAGTTGGGATAGGGGTGGGATATGCCAGACCAGAAATCCCCGTCTTCTCCCCCTCTTTTCAACAGATCTAGCTTGTAGTAGAGCAGTGGGATCCCAGTGGAAATTGAGTAGTTCCTCCTTACCCAGGAGTACGAAGCAACTCACCTATCCCAGCAGAATTTCTCACTGCAAATTTCAGTAGATAATGCCTTTCTCAGGGTTTCGTGTTCTCAACAGCACAGCATGCTGATCCTTGGTGAGCATTGGGGCAATGTCTGGGTTCTGCAACCTCCATACCTTTACAGTATTGAGTGCCTTAGCAGGGCCACGGCACTGGGGCCAGTCTGGCATATGGGGTAATAGGACTTACTGGTTGATCATGCAAACATGTTAAAGTCTGAGACAGTACTTTAGTCTACTTGGCCAAAATGTTTTCACATGGTAGTAATTTCATCTCTTCCTATAATATTCCTTTTCCTTTCTACCCACTGCTGCTTGGGGGATCTAGGGGAGCTGGAATCTCCATTTGCCATCATGACTTTTGCCCAGTCTTGCACATCATGACCTTTGAAATGGGACCCCCCCACCCCCCCACCCATCATGTCTTACTAATGAGGGTATCCATACATGGTACTCAGCTTCTATAATCCACTAACAGTAGCAGCCTGGTTTACACACCAACAGGGAAAGCTTGGGTTAGGCCAGATGCAGTGTCTGCACAAACCAGGGCATACGTATAACTTTTACTCCGAGGGAGGGAGGCAGTATAATCAATTTGACAATCTCTCCCTGATTGAGAACGCTGATGGGTAGCTCCAAATTCCTTGGTAGATGTGTTTGGTTTTGTTTAGAACATACAAGACATGCTGTTACTGCATTAACTTGAGTCACTATAGTTCAAGGGCAGTATAAACTAGGGTATCAGCTTCCTGATTGCCAGGGGATGTCAGTGCTTTATAAGCAGGGATCTAGAAAGTAGTGAGTTATACCTCAGGCTCTTATAGGTGGACCAAAATGTCTTTCTACATATTCTAATCCCCACAAGGGCTCATTCATGATCATCTAACCCTTGGCTTCCCAATGTCCAAGCCATAGGTTCCATCCCTTTAGAACAGGCCAATTATCAGTGCAAAGAGTTAACAAGGGAGTAACAGCCAAACTCATGAATGATGGATCACCAGCCAAGATCTCCTGAGTTCAGACCACTGGCTACTGTACTTTGTTTCGATTTCCATCCAGATAGTGTCATTGTTGGATTGAATAGTGACTGCAGTCCTCTGGAAGGGATTACCCTGACTAGACCCATCTGTTTACCAGGCATCAGCTGGAATTTCCTCACTCCCTCCTTACAGGCTACAGCAACACAACAGGTATACGGGCAGGGGCATCTGGAGGATCTACATATTCCACAGGTCATAGTAGCACCTGCATTTCTAGTAGGCTGGTGGATAGGATGCTCTTCTGCTGCAAATAGGCATGTCACTTCATCACAGAGGGAATCTGAGCTGTGGCAGAGGTGGGTCAATGGAACGTATTCTCATCCCATCCCTTGAAGGGCAGAGAAGTTCTTAGCACAATGCACTATTCCTTAGTGAGAGGCTAAACCAGGAGGGGTCCTTTGTATACTGATAGAAGCTGGTGCTCTACGGTGGTAGATAGGTTTTTGCCCTCTTTTAGAGCTGAGACCAGAATCCTAGGAGTACTCTCTCCTTCTCTAGTGCTAGTGCCCAGTTCACATATTCCAGAGTCGCAGAAACATCTAATTCAGATAGTAGTCCTGCTGGGGAGATGCCCAGAACCATAACTTGCTTTACTAGTATTTTGGCCTTTTCAAAGGCAGCTTGCTGCTCTGATCCCCAGTTCCACATGTGCCCTTTCTTTACCAAGTGACTGTAAAAGGAATGGGGGCACTGTGCCAGGTGGGGTATAAAAGTCCTCCAAAGTCCCCAAAATCTTAGCATCTTGTTCACATTCTTAGGGGCTGGGTAGGCTTGCACCTTATCAATCACAGCTTCTGGAACAACACAAGTCTTACCTAAGCAAACAACTCTCAAAAATGTTATAGTAGTTCCTTTACCATGAATTTTCTATGGATTCACTGCCTATAGTCTCTCTCACATATGCTCCAGCAAAGCCTCCAGGGTGCCCTGCAGCAAAGGCAAATCTTCCCATGTCAACATTATATCATCATTGTAATGGATCAATTTTAGTGATGTGGGGAAGGAAAACAGGGCAGGTCCAGGCTAGCATTCCATGAAATATTGTGGGGCTGTGCAGGCAACCTTGGGAAAGCACACAAAATACCCATTGTTGCCTCTCCCATGTAAATGAAAATTGATCTTGTGACTCAGTGGTCAGGGATATACTGGGAAAAGGCATTTGCTAAGTCCAGCACAGCATAGTACACTCCTAGGACTATGGCCCAGGTATCTAAGATGGTGGCAGTGTTGGGCACAGCTGCATGGATGGGGAGGGACTACCTTGTCCAGTTCTCAGAGTGTGCTGTCATCCACCATGATTTGATCTTTTTTGTTGTTGTTGTTTGTTTGTTTGTTTGTTTGTTTGTTTGTTTTACTGGCTATTTGCAGTTTGGGACTGCTTATCCTATTTCCTATGCCCTCCAGGAAATTTATATAGACAATTACCACTCTACAGAGATGACAGGCTTACTGGTTACTAATTGACACTTCCCTTCAGCACTGGTTTGATTACCCACAGGTAGAATTCACTGATGGAGATTTGCCCAAGAGCAGGGGAAGGGTGTGGAGCCTCCAGTTGCCTGAGTCCAGCTTGCCAGTCAACTGGTGGTCACGTCCTCTTGATGACTTCCTCCAACAATGAGATATTTTATCTTGTGTCAGGAAATATGATGGGCTTAACAGTGATCAAATTTGCTAGAATTGAGCCTGCTGACCTCTTCTCAGAGCCATC